TGTTACAAATACAATTGAGCCAATGTTGAAATGTACAAGAAATTGTAGATTTCAGACTTACCAGAAGAATTTTGGGTCTACCTACTAGTAAATTTATTGGAACAACCAAGATAATGCCCTTGGAACAACCAATTTTCATGGTGTATTTTAATCTGGGCAATTCTAAATAAGTACTCTATAATGTCAGCAAAAATTAATACCTGTATGTTTCTTTTCTAAAGAAAAGTACAACAACAATAATTTCATTATTCTTATGATACTTGGATGTTAAGAATACGCTGTATAATTAAATGCATTTAACATATTTTGTTCTTTACATACGAAAACCTAAGAAAGTATTTGGGTGCACTGGTGCACCCACAGAAAAGAATTAGGTGCACAGCTCCAAATTTGGGTGCACTAAGGTGCACATGCACCCAGTATTTCGAGCCCTGTCAAGCAATCCTCGCGATCAGCTTCCTGAATTTCCCCCATGTCTACCTCTAATTCCTCCTTACTCCTGGACAGATTCTTTGACAGTCATGTTCATCCCATTTCCTGTGCCTGACCTTTTGATCCCACACTGTGTTACCCAAGTGCTGTCAATTTACTCCGTTCGGACAAACATACACACAAACCCATAGACAACCACCCAATACAATACTTCTGTATTGTAATATTAAAATATAGCCTGCAATAATATAAAATTAATATGACAAATCTCTGAGCTATTAAGAAGAAAAATATGTACCTGGACTTTATACTATTTATGAGTCATTCATACCCGTACCAGTACAAAGTACCTGCAAAATTATATTAGTCTACGTTCGGGTGGAACGTTCGTCCCGTTTAGGCCGCTCATTACCTTGCAAAATAACATCCAACATTTGCCCAAGGGGGACTTAACCTGTTTCAATGACTACAAATAACAATATTAAGATGAATTCGTTAGATATAATTAATATAGAAAACCACAGGACCATAAAAATATGATTCTCACCCGCACCCTAGTCACCGACCGTGCATCATATGTGAAACGACCTATGACCTGAGTTTACGTCAGAATCATTGCACTTTTCATGAGAACAGCTAGATGTCGCTGTAACAGATTGCAGAATCTCGCCGTGCGTATGACTAGTCTTCAATCAGACGCTGTATCAATAATATAAATGATTTTTATTACCATTTTATATCTAAGTCCTCCTAACAAGATCTTCTTTCGTGATGTCGTAAAGGAACGAGGACGCAGGTGACAAGGTATGACCACGTGCCCTCGAATCGGAGGCTATTGTCAGTCCTAGTCTGAATCAGAGGCTGAAAATTAGCTGCCAGCTTCAGGCTGCATAAGTTTTTACAACACATTCGTCAAGTTTCTTCCTGTTCCACACGACTTGCTCCCAACTCTCAACAGACCAGCTTCGGAGTTTCTTACGACATTAATTCTCCGCTCCAGCCCTGCTGGATTGAGCGAGAGAAAATGGCGGGGTCGTGGGCCGTCCTGGGCCGTGCTGTGGTGACGTTTCTGTTGTTTCTTCCTGTATCCGTGAACTTGGAAGGACTCCTGGTTAGAAGAGAGATCGACACGACTCACTACCATGACTTTGTCGACATGTCAGCACAGCTGCAAGACTATGCTAACAGGTATGGCAGTGTACAGGTAACACAGTGTAGCGCAACATTTATGTAACGGCCCCTTCTTTTTCAACACTGGTACTGTGTGTTTGATCAAGGACATTATACACAGTGTATAATGTCCTTGGTTTGATAAAATTTTGTTAAATCTACTCTCCAGGCTGAGGTTTGGGTTTCGGTTTTTTTTTTTTTGGCGTGTTTTTAGACTTTTTTTATTGGGGTTTCTTTTTTGCACTGGAATTCTTCTTTCACCCAACCCAACCTCTGCTGGCACTCACCCCGGGGCGGGGCAAACCTATTCAAGGAACGCCACAGTGCTCCTGCCCGGGAACCATCAAATTATCATTAGGGATATTCATTTTACTGTGGTGGATTATCACACATCTAGCCAGTCAGAAAGGCATTCATTCGGCCACACGCCTCCTGCTGACTGTGCCTATTCATGCATCCGGTTTGCACTTACTTGCAGAACGACTGTGATGTGTTAAAGTGATTAGGTTTATATCACTTTGATGCTTTGGCCAGCTGGTTAAAAGTGCTGAATTTACTTTTACATGAGCACTCTGTTCCAGTGCTGACGGAAGTTTGACCGCTGAATCAGCACTGGAACACCAGTGTACGTGGAAGGCGTTACTTTTGCATACTTGCTATGTGTAGGCGTAGGTGTGGACTATGCTAACAGGTAGCAAACAAGTACTAGTAGGGGTGGTGGACTCAGGTCTGCCTATTCACTGGAATACACTGAAATACACCGGAATATGCATAAAAGAGAGTGATATCTACCAGAATACACTCTGCATTGATAAACATGAGGTTGCTGTAATTTGGCAAAAGATAACGTATACGTGGTCCCGGATACGATCAGAAAACACATGGTATTTCTGAGTTGTAAATGTTTTCATTATGGATTTAACACAACTTGTTTGTTTAGCGGAGTCATAATTATAATGAGGAAAGATATTTAAAGATCAATTTTACCGAAATAAAGAATTACTAGTATGATACGCTAATTATAACATCACACTGGTTGCTACTAGTATTGGTGTTGGCATAAATGAAGTAGATATTTTTCTGGGCATATCATTAGAAATTACTAACTGACTGTACTTGAGGATCAAGATTAACTTGTCTGCTTTTGTGCGGTGTTACTCAAGACGGGCCGGGATCACTAATTAATTTCACCCAGTGATTTCTTGTTCCAGGTCCATGCATACAAGTACGTTACTAGTACTAATATCTTATAGTTACTGTTACAGTAGTAGATTTCACGCTCCATTTTATGCATATTCTGGTGTATTCTGATGTATTCCGGAAAATAGGCAGACCCATAGAGACCATATGCTAACAGGTATTGATAACACACACCTTGTACATTGTACATGTAGGGGGAGATGGAGACAATTGCAGTAAATGCCAATATCGTATGTACAGATTTCCTAGTCCAGAATATTTTATAGTTTTTTCAACCTGAAATATATTAATTGTTTTGAATGCTTTAAGTTTAATTCAAAAAAGTCACAAACAGATAATCTCCAAGCAGATTCTCTGGCTGCCTGTATCCATTGTCCGCCCCACAAATCTGCCACAAAACTGATATTCTACTTTGAACAATTACATTATCACTCTGACACATTTCAGCCAATTTGTAAGTACATGTAGGTGCAAAGTTTTTGGCAGGAGTTCACTTCACCCACATTGTGGGTGTTCCTGTCTGGCTGTCGGAGTGTAACTCGTAAATAAACACATTCCTCTACCTTCTATGTAGAACTGTTACGTTTTACATGGGGAGCAATCGCAAATAGTGGCGGTACGAGTCACGCAGGGGCCGGTTGACGCACAAAACACCCCGGCACATTAGGTAAGGCTGTTAGGAATCTGGGGACGTGCAAACTTCGGTCTCAAAGTGTTCCGCATGTTTGTTCATTTGGCCCAATGCACCGCTCCGCGACTGTTGTTAGGACTACTGTAAAAGACTGCAAGCAAGAGAAGCCCTGCAACAGTCACCGCGGCTACTTGGAGATTAACTTAAACAGAGTGTCTTGTAATGTTATGTGATTGTAAACCGTTGCTGTCCTGTTCATTTGCAGGTATCCCCACATCACACGGCTGTTCAGCATAGGTCAAAGTGTGCAGGGTCGTGACCTCTGGGTCATGCAGGTCACAGACAGACCTGACCAGACAGAACCGGGCGAGCCCCAGGTCAAGCTGGTCGGTAACATGCACGGCAACGAGGCTATCAGCAGAGAAGTCCTCATCTTCCTCATCCAGTATCTGTGTGAGAAGTATGGGCAGGATGACCAGGTAATATATAGCTGTTATTTTGATAAAACCTACATTGTAAAGTACATTGTATAGCTAGTAGTGATGCATACCTAAACCCAATTTTAGGTTCAGGTCCGGATTCAAGTCCAGAGGTTTAGGTTCAGTTCCGGACTTGTAAGTCCGGACCTAAACCCATGGCATATACAAAATTGCATGTTGGCAACCTTGCAATGTTGTCTGGGTGAAACTTTGGCCACATAACATGGAGCCCGGTACTTGACGATGCCCGATGGCAATGTTTTCTTCATTTTGCAGCAAAGATTTTGCAATCTACGGAAGGTTTTAGGTGGTTTGGAAAGAAAAGGGGTATGTGAAATGGTCTTTTATGGTAATAAGTCTGGACTCGGTTCTTGACTTCAGTTTTTTTTGGACTTGAACCTAAACATTCTTACAAGATGGTATGCATCACCAATTAGCTAGTTACTGTTAACATTATAGGCCTAAATTTTCTATGGATAAACATTAATCATACACAATTTTTCATAGTCTGTATCTGTATAGCCGGTATAACTGTCCCTATGTAATAACACTCCTGCTTCGCTGGCACTCAGTGTGGCGGCAGCTGGCTATACCAAACTACTTCTTACACATTTGAACATCTACATTGTAACTCTAAACATTGTTTAAAGCTCTCTATAGCTAATATCCCTACTGTATACTACTCTGATATACATGTAGTTCTAGGGGAAAAAAACAACTTTTTGAACACCTCAATCATTTAAAATAACTCTTGATCATGCAGGCAATGACTAGTATCTCTTGTTCTTTTCTGTGCGGGTATTAGCTACTATTCTATTATTCTAGCTATTAGTCATTTTAAACATTTTTAATTAAGAACTTCAAGTTGATATTCTTAGATTGCCTATTGTGTATTAAAATGTCAGTGTTTTTTCCCAGGTGACTCAACTTGTGGACACGACTAACATCTTCATCATGCCCAGTATGAACCCAGACGGCTTCGAGAGGGCGAAAGAGGGGCAATGTGGCGGGACGCTCGGACGAGAGAACGCGAACGGCGTCGACTTGAATCGAAACTTCCCCGACCAGTTCAGCTCTAAGAGTTACCTGGATTCAAACTTCGAGCCGGAAACCGTGCATATGATGAAGTGGGTGATGGAAAATAAGTTTGTTCTTTCGGGGAACTTTCATGGCGGCGACCTGGTGGCGAGTTACCCGTTTGACGATTCGGCGCGACACGGAGACGGGATCTACAGCAAGGCACCGGATGACGACGTCTTCAAACACCTGGCACACGTGTACGCCAACAGTCACCTGACCATGCATAACAACAGGGGCTGTGACATGTGGGAACACTTTCAGGACGGTATCACTAACGGGGCAAAGTGGTACGACGTACCAGGTCAGTCACAACTATTGTTATGTTTACCGAAGGAAAACATATTGTTTTTACTCAGTTTCTTCCTCTTCTGTTCCAAACACTAACATCTGACCTGGCCAATGACATGATTTGTTGACGTTGGTCACCATGGTGACTCGTGTTGGGTTACATAATGTTGCAATTTCATGGTCTGCTCTACTCCTGTCACCAAATACAGAAATTTTAGATTATTTATATTTTATTTATATTCTACACAATTGTGAGATTACCTGTGAATACGTTCAATATATTACTGTAATTAGTCAGTTCCATGTTTGTGTCTAATTTTATGTATTTATCAATATCATGAAGCAGATTCTGAAGTAGTGTTTAGCCATACTAAGAAATGTTAGCCTGAAAGATCCTTGCAGAATCAAACTATCCACACCCTCTTCACAGATGTTTCTCTCCTCCCTCTACCCTAGGTGGTATGCAGGATTTTAACTACTTGTACAGCAACTGTTTTGAGATCACCCTGGAGCTGTCCTGTTGTAAGTACCCTACAGCTGACCACCTGGAACAGGAGTGGGACAACAACAGGCCAGCTCTCCTCGCATATCTCGCAGAGGTATGGATTTTAGGCCACACCAGTTTAATTTGTTGCTTCTCAGATCGCCCTGTCCATTTTTTTCTGATTTGCAAGAAAAATAAAAAATTTTGGGGGTTCTAAATTAACTTCAAGATGCTCAATGAAAAAAAAAGACATATTTTGGCCCCAACGGTTGAAAAAAATTTTCCTCCTAGTTCTTAGGTTTTCCGATTGTAACAATACAGTTTTATTTCATTAAAAGTTCAAAATCTATTATTTTAATTATAAACCCGCCTGGTATGTTCACTTCATGGTTCATATTGTAACATTTCCGGCTATCATGGGGTGCCTTGGCCTGTTTTTCGCCCTGTCGCTCCTGATTTTTTGTGAAAAAATCCAAGGAACAACAAATTACATTGGTGTGGCCTTATCAGAGATTAATAACATTTGTGGATTAACATAACTGTCATCTTGTCAAGATTGAATATCCTGTTTCATATGATGTTACATTTAGTAAAACGTTAAACTTTATTCCAACTCACTATTTACATGGATCAAATTTTCAGCGACCACTGTCGCCTTCATCAGGATAATTAATGACCAATCACTTCACAATGTGATCTCGCGAGAGTTATGGTTTACAAACACGTGACCTTATTCACGCGAGACTTTACTGATACGTGACGTAAGCAATTGATCAAAAGTGCCAGGGAGTTTATATCGTCCACCATCTCTATATTAGTGGACCGTAAATATGCAAGTACACCTTAAACAAGATGTTAGCTTAAGTCCCATGCAGAATACATGAAAGGTACTAATAATTCAAGCAGTTGCAGTACGTTCTGCTTGATATGTGCTCTCAAAACCAAGTTTTCTAACTCACTCACTCACTCACTCACTCACTCACTCACTCACTCACTCACTGCACGGCTAAACGTCCGTTGTTCCCCGTCATACAAGGGTTGGACGTCGTGGGGTGTCGTTTGGGTCTAATAGCTGCTCTCCAGCTGCTTCTGTCTAGCGGGTTGGCCTTCTGCAGTTTCAAGCTTTTGATGTTTTCCCTAATACTGTCTACCCATCTCTTTTTTGGGCGGCCACGCGGGTTTCGGCCCTCTACGGGCATTTCTAACTTTTGTGTTTATCTTTTTCCAGGCACACAAGGGAGTGAAGGGTTTTGTGACGAGTTCAGACACAAACCAGGGGATAGAGAATGCCACCATCACAGTGGTGGGTATAGACCACAATGTTACCACAGCCAGTCATGGGGACTTCTGGAGACTGCTGGTACCTGGGACTTACACCATCATTGCCAGTGCACAGGGGTATGATTCTTTTGTATCTGTGTCAAGGTAGTGCTGCATACCTAAACCCAATTTTAGGTTCAGGTCCGGATTCAAGTCCAGAGGTTTAGGTTCAGTTCCGGACTTGAAAGTCTGGACCTAAACCCATAACATATACAAAATTGCATGTTGGCAACCTTGCAATGTTGTCTGGGTGAAACTTTGGCCACATAACATGGAGGCCAGTACTTGACGATGCCCGATGGCAATGTTTTCTTCATTTTGCAGCAAAGATTTTGTAATCTACGGAAGGTTATAGGTGGTTTGGAAAGAAAAGGGGTATGTGAAATGGTCTTTTATGATAATAAGTCCGGACTCGGTTCTTGACTTTTAGGTTTTTCTGGACTTGAACCTAAACATTTTTACAAGTCCGGATCCAAGTCCAGTGAACCGGTATGCAGCACTATGTCAAGGTTATGAACTTAACTCATTTAATTTCTCATTTGCATTATCCATTTTTTCTGATTTGCAGAAAAAAAAATTAGGTTCTATCAACTGCAAAATGCTCAATATGAATGAAGGACATATTTTGGCCCCAACGGTTGAAGAAAGTCCTTTTCTTCCTCGTTGTTAAAGTTTTTCAATTATGTAGCAATGCAACTTTGTTTCATGAAAAGTTCAAAATCTATTGTTTTTATTATAAACCAGCCTGGTATGTTGACTTCATGGCTCATATCGTAACATTTCTGGCTATCATGGGCTGCCTTGGCCTGTGTTTTTTCCCTTTCGCTTTATATTTTTCTGAAAAAAAAACAACACCAAATTAAGTTGGTGTGGCCTTATCTTACATTGTATACAGTTTACTGTCACGTATCTCAAAGTCAAGTTCTCGTCTCTTACACCAGTCCATCATTTTGGTTAAAGGTTGACATCAAACCATTTCAAAATTGGGCCGTGAGGACATGTACATACAATGTACTTGCCTGAACTTAATTTTGGGGTGTAAAGAAGCCCAACTAGTTCTGGAGCACATGATTTTTCACAAGTATGGAGTTTTCAAACTGCTATTAGTGCTAAGAATATGGAGAACTTCCAACTCTCTATAATCTTTTTCACTTTTCAATGCACCTTAACTCGTTGACCCCCTCAAGATTGCTGAAAAATTCCTTGAAGTCAGATATAGAAAGCTCAGCTGAAGCTAAAAGATATATTTAATTCTACAGAATGTAGCAGTTTTCTGTAGTGTATAGCTGGTAGCATACGACCTCTCGGAGGACCTGCATGCCCTTTTTCATAAGTCGTAATCACTGTCTTTTTTAGTCTTCGTAATTCGTAGGAAGCCGCACAAAAAACATCGTAATTCGTAATCAGTACATGAGCGGTAAATGGTTTGTAATCAGGTCTAAGAGTCTAATTCCTAAAAGAGCCTAAGAGTCAGGTCTAATTAATGTTTGCGTAATTTGTAATCACTACCCCCATACAGGCCCTCCTGATGGTCTGCATTGACAATTTGTTGTTTCCATGTTAGGTACACCAGTGAAACCTTCACAGATGTGACAGTAGAGGCTGACCAGGCTACAGAACTCAACTTTACCCTACATGCCGTGGGAGTTCAGCAGACCCCACCTGTCACCACACTCAGCTCCATACAACAGCCTGAGGATACTCCACAGATCAAACACCATAACTACCAGCAAATGAAAGAGTTTATGACCAAGGTCAGTGTATATGACATGTTCTTAATTTTTTGATCAGCTGTAGTCAATACGCTTGACTGTATATTTATTTATATTACACTTTATCTCAAACTACTCCTTTCATAGCAACGCTCTAAATGAGTTGACTATTCAAACTTCTACAATTTATCCCAATTTTACTAAACTTACAGACAAAGAAAAAACTATTCTTCCTTTAACTTCCCAAAACCCACTAATTTTGGAAAAGGTGGGACATTACGTCTTCCATGGTCTAAAAAAGAGAAGTCAAATCAAACCCCTTAGACATAGTTTTAGACATAGCTATAGCTTTAGACAACTACCGTAGATTTTAGTTATTTTTGTTTCATTGTTCTTTAACTAACCCTAACCCGAAATGAGCTGATTCTTAGAACAGATTATGGTTTTAAACTAAGATTTCTTTCATTCTATTCAGTGGTTTCAGGATGTCCTGTAAGCTTTTTCCCAGTCAGACAGTTCAACTTAGTTCATTTATGAATGTATTAAAATGTAGTTTGGATTCTACATCATTCCAGTTTTTTCATCCATATTATCTAGAAATACAATGTACTAGAATGCATGCATACATGTATAAAATTATGTACAATGCACAAAATTTAATGTACCTAATACAAAAATTCCATAATGTCATCATATTATTTACTTTAGAACTACAATTCACCAAGAAAATTGCACAACTTTTGCACAAGAAATTGACAATCTGTTTTGACCAAAGTCAAACCATGCTTAAGTTCCTCTTCATCTTTTTGAATGAAAGACATCCCCTTGTGTGTGTTTTCCATGCTGTAGTTTGCCAAGACCTACCCAGACATCACCCGCATGTACAGTATAGGACAGTCAGTGGAGGGAAGAGATCTACTGGTGATGGAGATATCAGACCAGCCGGGGGTACATGAACCAGGTTAGTACACATGTACATGTATGTACAGTATAGGACAGTCAGTGGAGGCAAGAGATCTACTGGTGATGGAGATATCAGACCAGCCGGGGGTACATGAACCGGGTTAGTACACATGTACATGTACATGTATGTACAGTATAGGACAGTCAGTGGAGGGTCGAGATCTACTGGTGATAGAGATATCAGACCAGCCGGGGGTACATGAACCAGGTTAGTACACATGTACATGTATGTGCAGTATAGGACAGTCAGTGGAGGGAAGAGATCTACTGGTGATGGAGATATCAGACCAGCCGGGGGTACATGAACCAGGTTAGTGTCAGGATCAGTTGACGCTATACATGTACATTGTAGTGCTTGATTTCAGTAAAGCATTGGATACTGTGCCCCACATGCGTTTGCTGAGTATTAGCTCAAGCATTACAGCATCTCTGGTCAGCTCCCACTTTGGTTGGAAGCTTTTCTTACGATATGACTTTATTAGCAAATAGCAGACGTACAACATGAAGTGGTCCCTGAAATACCTAGTTTGCTAATTAACATGAAATGTGGAAAATTACGTTTCAACACCTATCAATAAAATTACATTGATTCACGAACGTATATTGCATTGATAAAATATTAAAATTACACAGAGAACCCAGACAGTTGTTGTTGATGGCGAAGGATCTAAATCCACCAAGGTCATAACCGGAGTGCCACAAGGAACTATTCTGGGCCCACTCCTTTTTCTTCTTTATACATTCAAATGTCACAGCACTATATATAAATAATCTAAGAATAGACAGAGTTAGGTTGGACCATGTAAAGGTACACATTATGCTTTTGCTTTTCAAATGTTACCTTGAAGGTCTTATTTACAATTTTGTATTAATTTTGTTTCCTTTGTACATCCAGGAGAAGCAGAGTTTAAGTACATTGGGAACATGCACGGTAACGAGGTTGTTGGGCGGGAGGTGCTGCTGCTGCTCATCCAGCTGCTGTGTGAGAATTATGGGAAGGACGCTGACCTGACAGCACTGGTGGACAGCACCAGGATCCACATCCTGCCCTCCATGAACCCTGATGGGTACGAGATAGCTCAGGAAGGTAGGCTGTACAAAATGTAGATACTGTAAGTCCTGAGTTTTTTACGGTACTTTTTTGTCCACAGTTTTCACAGTTTTTCTGTACCATGAACTTATCATAATCACATTATTGTCAAATCATTTTTCTCTTGCTCTTCTACCCCTCTCCCACCACCTTGAAAATTAGGCTACTCGACTGCGAAATTTTGCTTCCAAGACAAAGTGAATTACAGTAATCCAGTAATATTGTAGGAGGCTGAAATTTTACATGACATCGTAAAATATATATCTCCATAGGCCAATTTATTTAATATGAAGCTTTACCATTAACTTGTGGAAGATTGACTTAACAGGTGAATACCACCTATTCAAAGATGTCAACCCTGAGACCAGACTGTAAGGTTTGAACCACTCACACCGGGAAGGATCCCTGCTCTTTTCAATAAGTGTGGTTGGATATTTAAAGTGCCTCTTGAAAAATATAGGTGTGTCTGTCCTTAAACATGGAACCACCAGGCATTATGTCTTAACTAACATAACTTTTAGTTTTTAAAATTTCTATACGCAATGTACTTAGTCTAGTTGTCATTCCAAAAAGTCAGTCAAAAACAAGAGGCACTCAACTGCATATGCACACTAGCATACAAAACTGGATACCTTGAATTTTGCTCCGTGTAAATTGGCTTGCTTTGACGTACATCAATTCAACACAGTGTTTTAGATCCTATGTTACCTTGAGGGCTGGTGTATGATGTGAAGGTAGGTAGGACAAAGCAGGCCAATTTACATGCTCTAGGAAAATTTTGACATAGTATGCAGTTATCCTACATTAGTGTACATATACAGTTTTTGTACTCCTAAGTTTTTGCCTGCGTGTAAATTAGGTTAAAGGCCAAGATTCTTACTACATGTAGATAGTGATGGGGACGAAAAGTGATAATTGTTGATGTTGTAATGATAAACAAAACAAAAAGACTTCCAATCTTTGTTTGTCCAGGTGATGTTCGGGGTCTCACTGGACGGACCAACGCCAACGGAGTGGACCTGAACCGGAACTTCCCTGACCAGTACTTCGGTGTGGAGAACTCCCAGCCTGAGACCACGGCTGTCATGGAGTGGGCAAAAAGAGTCCACTTCGTTCTGTCTGCCAGCCTGCATGGGGGAAACCTGGTCGCTGACTATCCGTTTGACGACTCACCAAAGGGCCATGCGGTGTACAGTAAATGTCCTGATGATGCCATCTTCCAGCAGCTAGCTAAGTCATACTCCATGGTATGTATGATTTACATACTATAGTTTTCTCCAATGATTTATGATTGTTAGGTTCTTTTGTATCTTTGCCTCTTACCCAAGAAGGTTATGACAAGTTAGCTGAAAAAGCTGTCTTTCAAAAGAATGTTGAACATTCAAACAATGAGTTTCGAACTTTTAATCAAGGCACTGCATTGATAGATGGAAAAACTATATTAACAACAAAGGGACTTAAACTCTTAGGGCGAAAATATGAGCATTTTGGAGTTGATTCAGAGCCTGGAATGTTTGGGTTTTTTTTTTTTTTTGAATCAGAAAAAAATTAAGAAAGTTGGCAAATCAGAGAACCAACAAAAATTATGACAATCCATCAATCCCTTCTTGAGTTATTGTCTTCCACAACAGAAAGGCCCGTTCAGTTCCAAATCTACATCTTATTCCCTATTCAGAAGCTATCTTCCACCAAAATAGAGAGAGAGAATGGTTTATTCAACATAAAAAAACCTTCAGTTTGCAGCACAAGTGCTGAATTGTGGTTTCGTTACACAAACAGGTAGTTTAAAACTTAGACTTCTTCGCATTATACATTACAAATAAGAATTTAAAACAAGTCATAAATCCTATAAAATCACTACCATCATGACTTATAGTTCAGCTGTAACATTACTGTCATTCAGCAGGCGGTAACAGTAAGGTAATGTACTGTAAAATATCACGTCCATGGTACATGTACAATGTATAACCAAACCACGAGATATGAAAACCAGTTCTTAAAAGTTGCTGCTTCAATAAAGTGGAAAGCACTGTATAGTAAGGTGGCCCAATATCAAACTAACTTGTTTCTTGTTAAACCTCCTTGCATTTGCTTTAACCAACCCTGTGACATACCATCTCATGAAGATCAATCTAGACCTCAAGTTCTGCTGTTCACAAACACACTCAAACACCCACCCACAAACAAATGGCACAGAAAACACAACCTTCTGTTGGTGTAGATGACACTTAAATGTAATTCTTGCAGGCACATCCCACCATGCACAATGGCCACCCCTGTGATGACATCAAACCAGACGAGTACTTTCAGGACGGCATCACTAACGGTGCAGCCTGGTACAACGTGCCTGGTAGGTACATGTATATGTCTATTGGGTAACTTCAATTTGTTTCAGCCAGCATCACAGTGTTAATGACCTTTGTTATGTAAGAAACAGGAGGAGCGAGTAGAAACAGATAAAAAAAACAGTCTAGACCCCTCAGCCGGGGCAGTTGGTAGCACCAGCTAGGTCCTATAAACCTAAATTTCTGAATTGTCAGAGAGTCTAATGTATTTTTGGCCTGAACATACATGTACCTTCTTACAATGGATGGGGATAATAGACCATCAGAAACATTGGTCTCAGTCTCTAAAAATCCTGCAGTAATTTGAGAGTAACTGGATGTACTGCTGCTGAAAATGTCCTTTAGACAAAATCTAAGGTGCACATGCCCCCAGTATTTCGAGCCCTGTAGGTATATTCCACTTAGACTAAAGGTAGACTTCTATTTGTTTCACTCAAACCACCATGTTAATGACCTTTACCAGAAGGTAGCTGAAATTCTCAACTGTCAGAGAGTTGAACATATTTTCACCTAAAAATCTATCTTACAACGGATGGAGATCGGAGACCCTCAAAATATTAGAATGGGTGATGCTAAAAATCTACAGTAACTGACTCTTAAGGCAGTAGATTTGAGAGGATACTGGCTGTATTACTGCTGAAAATGTCTTTCAGACATGTACAGCTTGCAGACTCACGTTCAACCTACATTCCATAGTACAAGGAAGGATTTAAAACTGTTACTCACAACAAAGTTCTGTAAGCGTAGGAGCTTTCAGATGGCATCCACCATCTTTCTTTAGCTTATGAGGAGGGCAGTCACTTGACCCGAGGTTGAAAGGTCAGCACAGGTCACGTGACTGGATGAGGATGTTGTATATGGGGGGTAGTTGGTGGCGGCCTTGGTCGCGGTTTAAAGAAGGGGAGAGGGCTCTGATATGCTACTTTGACCCCACGCTCAAACCATCTGCTTTTTCTGTTGAGGATGGCAATTTTCTGTTCTGGATGATGCTTAATATGTGTCCTCATGTGTTGTGCATCTTTGGATTATATCCTCATGTGTTAACCTACATTCCCCTCGCCCCCCAGGGTGACTGGTACAGATAAAGTGACTGATGTTATAAACTCCATCCTCCATTCCCCAGGTGTTATGCAGGACTGGGTCTACCTGAACACTGATGACTTTGAAGTTGCCATTGAACTTGGCTGTGTGAAGTTTCCGTATGGCAGTGACCTTCCCGAGTACTGGCAAGCAAATAAAGAGGCTCTGGTGGAGTTCATCAAACAAGTAAATGTTTCTGCCTATTTATGTTTACTGAAGGAAAACATATTGTTTTTGCTACGTTTCCTCTTCTTCTTCTGTTCCAAACAGTGACCTCTGACCTGGCCAATGACCTGATTTGTTGACGTTTTTTACCATGATGGTAACTGGTGTTGGGTTACATAATGTTGCAATTTTATAGCAGGAGGGATTTAGACTCCTGTCTGACCATAATATGAATGTGTTTGAGTAACAATTAACAGAGCAGACCATATGTGAAGGTAAACATTATGCAATTTACTTTGCAAATGTTAGTTTTCTACTAGTCCGAAATTGAATTAGCAGTCTGGTCCTTTAATAGACAGATCTCGTTCCCCCACCCTCTTCTGTCAAAATGTAAAAAATCACTGCAAAGTGAAAAAATAGACATGCAAATATTTGATGAACATGAAGCCACTCTTTGATTGGTCAAACAACTAAATTGCCATTCTCTCATTGGTTGAACTGCTAATTGTGATGGACAGTCAGTATTGATTTATTCTGGAGACTAGAAATAAAAAGCAGAGGTAAGAATTCTAGTCTAAATAAATAAAATCTACCTTTAAGCAATATCCCAATGACATGATATTTTAAATTCTTTTATTTGATGATGAAGATATAATTATAAATCAGAGAATTCTGGGAAGTATTTTGTGTTTTTTGTTGACCATATCTTCTATCTGTGGGAATGTTAGGTCCACAAGGGTGTGAAAGGGTTTGTCCTGACCACTGATGGCAGTGGGATCTCCGGTGCCTCCATCACGGTCCATGGAATCAACCACACTGTGACATCAGCAGCTGGGGGAGACTACTGGAGATTGCTGGTCCCTGGAACATACCAAATCACAGCAACAGCAGAGGGGTGAGGAAGTTTATTCTAGTTCAACATCTTATTTTCTGTTTCTTGCATAAGTGAATGCATGGGGTCATCAAATTCTTACCTGCATGGTCCAGGTTTCAGTAGAAGAAGCTATGATCTACTGGAAATTGGAGCATACCTATCATGATGATGCCAACTTCCAGCCACTTTCTACATGATTGTACACTGTATGCTTTGGTCCTGTCATAAATTAAATGTACTTCCATATTATTATGTCACGTACTATGTCACAGAGTAATGGGTTGGTGGAAAAACCGGTCCGGTTGGGGGTGGAAAAAGCGGTCCGACCCTGTCACGTGTAGTTGCGCCCCCTGACAGAAAGTGATAGAACTGCATGTAGTCTGGCACCACCCTGAATGAAACTGAATTTCTTCATAATTATTGGCTTCTTAGCTATGAACAAAATAAGCACTAAATTTTTTTTAAAAACATTTTAAGTCATTATTTCATCCTGTGTGTCCTGACATTGTCTCCTTGCAGATATCCAAGTGTCACACAAGAAGTGACTGTAGGGGAAGGGGATGCCACACAGCTCAACTTCACACTGCAGACATGGAGTGAAGAAAATGACTACAGTCTCCCAAATGAACCAAGCTACAGCACAAACAACGATCTTGTTAAAATTGTCAAGAAATATTCAAAAGAGCATCGCGGTATCATAAAGATAGAAGAAATGTCAAACAAAAATGTTGTTGATGTCGAGATATTTGGCCAATTGGCCAGGAGAAAAAGAGATGGTGATGACATCACCAGGGTTCAACCACATGTGGCTCTGATTGGTGGACTGAATGGGGATGAGCCAATAGGAAGAGAGATCCTCACAAGGCTCATTAGGCATCTGGTGGAAGGTAAGGTTTATTGTGTAGGCTAACAGTTTAAATATTATAGTAGGTTTCTTAACAGTTAACATCATCATAGTACTACATGACTCTAATTCTGAATCAGAAGAAAGTGTTTAACTTTAAGTAGAATCTGGTACATGCACTAAATTTGCTAGGGAACTTCTAAACCCAGGGGAAAATCATGATTTTAAGGCCACACCAATTTGATGTCTTAGTCCTCAAAGTTTTTTAGAAAAAATATTAAGCGACAGGGCGAAAAAAAATAAAAATAGACTTGGGCATCCTATGATCATGGTAGCCCCAATTGCTATGAAGTCGACATACCAGGCAAACTTTTAATCAACTACAGCATTGTTACATGTAGATGAAAAAAAACTGTAACAACTCTGAACAGAAGGGACCTCCTTCAATATACATAAACCTCACATGAATGGAAAGTTAAATATTGAAGCAATGTATATTTTGATACTCTTTAGCTCAACATTGAAGGACAAATATAGATGAAAAATGTAGAAAATGGAATTAATGGTGTTACTTTACAGTTCTTCTTTTGACTTCTGGAAGTTTATTTGATTTCAAAAATGATGCATGAAAAAATGTTTCATTGTGGTTCTAATGTATGAGGGACTTGAACAAAGACCATGCAATAACATGTAACTGTCTTTTGCTCACAAGATAGCCAGATAACTTTTATAAGGATTCATTTTGATTATTCTGCACCATAATTGAAATTGATCTTACATGTTTTGCACAGGTTATGACAGAGATGAGAGGATAAGGGAGTTAGTAGACAACACCCACATCCATGTGATGCCAGCAGTGGACCTGTCATTCTTCAGCCAGGCGGTAGAGGGCGACTGTACAGGGGAACAGTACACAGGGACAAGGCTTCATGACCGCTTTACACTGGACTCACAGGCAGAGGTATTGTCATTTAGTTACTATATAGAATCTTTATTTGCATGTTCATGCCCATGGGGCTAAATGCATACATCAGAATGTGATGTAACATGTACATCGCACTGAGTAACAAGATACATAGGATACAAGGATATCAGAATAACAGAATGATGTAAAAGTCTTAACAGCTACTAGAGAATAAACTAAACTAGGCCTTCTCTCTTTTTAAAGCAACTGGAGATAAAGTCACAAAGTTTTTCTATTGTATGGTCATTACTGGTGGACATGAGATGACTGAATACCTCTTTCTTTGTTCTACCTTTATACAGTTTGTCTAAGTGGATTGTTCTAAACAGTGTGTCACGTTCAATATCAAACAATTTACAATCAAGTACACAAGTACTGTAACAGTAGTACATGGATGAAGTCTTAGTCTACTTATCTCTGGCATAGAGCTGCATGTGTATGGTTTTGGGTGTGTGTGTACATGTTTGATTGTGTTAGCCTCCGTATCAGGCTTTAGAACTGGGGGCTTGGTGGTCATCGGCTGTTTTCTGATTAAGAACGCGGGTAATTCAACCAGGCCAGCTATGCTGTCTATATGAATTCAGAAAATAGCACATAAAAGCTCCCAATGACCATGAAGATCCCCAAAACCCCCAATTTTTGGCATGCTATGGATAATAGGCTTGTCCATGGTTCTGAAAGTGGGTTTTCCTATGTATTTTAAGAAATAGGACCTGTCCATGGTGCTGAAAGTGGGTTTTCCTATGTGTTTAAAGTAATGCAACCTGTCCATGGTGCTGAAAGTGGGTTTTCCTATGTATTTTAAGAAATAGGATCTGTCCATGGTGCTGAAAGTGGGTTTTCCTATGCGTTTAAAGAAATAGGGCCTGTCCATGGTGCTGAAAGTGGGTTTTCCTATGCGTTTAAAGAAATAGGGCCTGTCCATGGTGCTGAAAGTGGGTTTTCCTATGTGTTTCAAGAAATAGGGCCTGTCCATGGTGCTGAAAGTGGGTTTTACTATGTGTTTAAAGAAATAGGGCCTGTTCATGGTGCCAAAAGTGGGTTTTCCTATGTGTTTAAAGAAACGGGACCTGTCCATGGTGCTGAAAGTGGGTTTTCCTATGTGTTTAAAGAAATGGGACCCTTCCATGGTGCTGAAAGTGGGTTTTCCTATGTGTTTAAAGAAATGGGGCCTGTCCATGGTGCTGAAAGTGGGTTTTCCTATGTGTTTAAAGAAATGGGGCCTGTCCATGGTGCTGAAAGTGGGTTTTCCTATGTGTTTAAAGAAATAGGGCCTGTCCATGGTGCTGAAAGTGGGTTTTCCTATGTGTTTAAAGAAATGGGGCCTGTCCATGGTGCTGAAAGTGGGTTTTCCTATGTGTTTAAAGAAATGGGGCCTGTCCATGGTGCTGAAAGTGGGTTTTCCTATGTGTGTAAAGAAATGGGGCCTGTCCATGGTGCTGAAAGTGGGTTTTCCTATGTGTTTTAAGAAATGGGACCTGTCCATGGTGCTGAAAGTGGGTGTTTTCCTATGTGTTTAAAGAAATGGGGCCTGTCCATGGTGCTGAAAGTGGGTTTTCCTATGTGTTTAAAGAAATGGGATCCTTCCATGGTGCTGAAAGTGGGTTTTTGCTATGTGTTTTAAGAAAAGGGGCCTGTCCATGGTGCTGAAAGTGGGTTTTCCTATGTGTTTAAAGAAATGGGGCCTGTCCATGGTGCTGAAAGTGGGTTTTCCTATGTGTTTAAAGAAATAGGGCCTGTCCATGGTGCTGAAAGTGATGATGCTATAAATTGCTTCCTTATAATGGAAGTTCATTTGTGTTTATCAACTTGGTAGTGATCAATATGATAGTACACAATCATGCTAAATTTTATTCCAACGCAAAGGTTACACAACCACTGTTCACAGTAACAGTTGCCTCCATCAGGATAATTAATGACCAGTTACTGATGTAAACCCCCAAATTAGAGTTAGGTCACAGCAAGTAATTTTTATGGATGACATCAGCGCGTGCATTAATTTTCACCTGATTTTGGAAAAAAAAATGTGTTGCCTTCTGACAGTGATCAATAGGCCAAAAATGGGCAAAGATGTCTGTTGCCATGCTGGAAGATGGATGGCAGATAACTATGAAGAGAGGAGACAAAAAAAGGCTCTGATTTAATGTTTTGTTTCTTAGTTTGATGCAGTGATATGTGCTGCTGGCTGTGTATAATATTATGTGATGTTTCCACTAAATCAAAACCATTTGTACAATGACTGAGTCAAATTTTTAAATTGAAGGTGACCTTGTTTTTTTCAGCCCGCTCGCATTACATTTGGAGTCTGCGGAGGATATCATCCATAAAATTTACTTGCTGTGGCCTTACGGTAAAACTGTTGTTTTCCTGTTGTTTACCAGGTCCCCCAGGTAGCCACAGTAAAAGACTGGTTTGAGAAGCACAAGTTTGACCTGGCCCTGAGTCTGGAGGCAGGCGGGCTGGTGATGAGGTTTCCCCTGGACTACCCACGGGAAGGTCTGTCCATAGCTGACGGTGCCACCACACAGGACAACCTCATGTTTCAAGAGATAGCGAGAGAGTATGCTGAAAACAACCCTGCAATGCAGGAAGGTACAACATGTGTAATTACTAGATTCTGAAAGAGTGGATCATATACAGTAGCTAACCATGCACTCACCCAGAAGAGAAGTGTGGGTACAGTCAGAAATTTGAGCTTTTGCCAGTATGAAATTCATAATTTTATGGTTGTATTATCATGTACTACATAATTATACAATAACGTCATGTAGGTGTCAATTGGAGTATTATATGAATTTTGTAAAAGTTTGTTGTTTGCATATTTGATTGAATGTTTGTTTTGCTGCATTTTAATGTATCAAACACACCTCCAGCAGTTCCAAAAACTTAAGCTGCTGGTACATGTACTAGCTATTATAGAAGAACTTTATTGCATGACAATGTATGGCAAGTACAGAAATAACAAACAAGTAAAATATGTATTGAATAAGACCTAAAATGTAGAATAAAACCAAACATATCCTAATTACTCAAACAATAAGGGCTAGGCACAATTTAATAATGTTAAAGGCATTACAATAGAGTATTGTATTATATTGATAGGGGTCCCATGTATATAGATTAATGTATTAGCTACATGTACATATAGCAGTTGCTTATGAATGAAAATTGGATGCCTTTAAGATAGCAAAAAATCTCATGACTGATAATGTTTGACATGCCTGTAAATGTTAGAAATTTTTAATTCTTTGCAGGCTCATCTTGCAACAATAAAACATTTCACGAAGGCATCAGTGTTGGGGCTTCTTTCAAGGAGACACAGAACACCTTGCTGGACTATGCCTACATCAAGGAGCATGTTTCCATGGTAATTAATAAGACACTATTATATGAAAGAATGTGACCGGGCAGTGTTGTATAGTGTCCGTCTTTCTATCTGTAAATTTTGCCGCTGATGATGGACAAAAAATTTTCCCATTTTTAGTCATCTTTTACAGACAAAAATTTGCGTGAAAGAGAAGGCATTAATTTAATCTATTTCTGAAATAGTGTAATGTAATCAGTCCTCCAGGAAAATTTGCCCCTTAAAATGCAGGAAATATAGTCTTTCAAGAGAGTCAAGATTTCAAAATTTCACAATTTTGGGACCCCTCTAATACTTTTGCAGTTTTGGTGCTCGAAATAATGCTGTCAAGCAAAACTCATATGACAGAAAAAATTCAGGTTAGCTAGAACACTGTACTTGGGAGAATGAGCTATTTGGTAAGGGCCTGATCACATTCACTTGTATACAATCGTCATACAGTCACAAACTAAACTGACTGTCTTGGGACTTGGAGTCTTTAAATCAAAGCTGCTTCTTCTTGTAGCTTTTTTATTGACATGTGTGTTTGTGTACTCTGTAGCTTGCTGCCCATGTGTCTTGCTGCAAGTACCCAGCGAGGGAAGATGTCCCTAAGATCTGGAGAGAAAACTTAGAACCACTTCTGGGATTCTTGAGCCAAGCTCGACAAGGTAACATATTAATACACTTTGCATTTTAAACCCCATACCTCTCTTAATAATTCTGAATGTCCATTTTATTCCTGCATTTACTGAATTTTGTAATTTTACTACAGGTTAGTGTGAATATTTTTGGCATAAATCCAGGGAGATGAGCATGCCAAGGCAAACAATTATTGTTCAAAAGATGTAAAAGAACACAAAACAAGAATATTATTTTTTCTCCTATACCACAGTTAATAATTAAAATTATTTTCATGCATTATAAAAATGTATTTTACAAATTTTCAACCACATTTGTCTTCAGACATATACAGTGTAGGTGCAGGTAATTATGGGATTGTGTAGTTAGAGGGTGTTTGCAGGGTTTTCAAGAGTACTGCTCAGAGACCTTTCTTTGCCTTCACAAGTTGTGGGAACTTTATTGTATACTGTGAAGTACATTGTAGTTCTTTCTTAAAGTCTTATATGATTGAAAAATACTGTCTGGTAACTCCCTCTAACATTAGTTTAATCTTGCTTAACGTTTGGTCACTGCTGTTACAAAATTTGTGAAATTTAATGTATCGCAGGTGTCCATGCCATGGTGCAAGACCAGGAAGGCAGCCCTGTACCAGGTGCCATGTTGTTTATAGAGGGAGACCCACGGAACATTTCTGTAAACACAGAGAAAGGAACCTTCAAGATGCTGCCGTTAGGACAACACAGGCTTCGAGTGGAGGCAGAGGTAGGAAAACAGAATGAGTCAGAGTTATCAACCAAGAATTGAGGTGTTCAAAAACTTGTATTTCCCCAGAACTATCGTAGACTGGAACTCGTTGCCACCAAGCACAGTTGTGGCATCATCACTAGAAACCTTAAAACAACTCCTGCAATCAAATGTGCAAAGATTAAGTGTAACAAGTCATTCGGTGTGATATAGCTAGCTGCCGACGCGCCTGCGAAGCTGGTGTGTTACGCCGAAGGGCGTTTTGTAATAATTACTTTTGTTAAGTCCGTACAATGATGACTTTGCACAATTTTAAAAGACTTTCAATGTACTACTGGTAATGGTCAGTACAGCAAACTTACAATCCACATGCACTTGCATGTACCTGACAGGTATAAAGCCAGTGTAAGGACCAATACACCTGCACTTATATGTCATGTAGCCTTTACATGTATATTCTGGGAGTCAGGAGTTGGCAGTTGGCTTGTTGTGACTGATAGTAATTAGTAATATGAGTATTATCTTTCGGCAGCTTTCATAGACAGACTGTACATTTTGTAACTGTTACAGTATCTCACACAATTTCCCTTATATATTAACCCTCAACAGCACACCTTTCCGGACTGATTAATCTGTACACCTGGGGTCCGCGCGGACCCCAGAACAGTTTTTTGCTAATTTTTAGAAATTATCAACATGCTACAAGCTCAATTGTTTTGCAAACTGATGTGGGAACCTCTGTGTCCACATTACATACAAAAATCATACATTTTGAACTTTTTCTATTTTTTGGTGAAGAAAAGAAGACAAGAAGAAATACCCGATTAATTTTTTAAACCCATTTCAGACTGAAGGGGCTTTTGAGGCCCAACTTTGATCTCAGATAGCGGCTAAACGGCTTGCGCTAGAAGTATCAAATTTGGAGACCTTTCTTAAAATGTCTCTGGAAATAAGTTCATATTAGTTTAATACTAGTAAGTTGATGTTTTTTTGTGTTGCCATGGCAACTGGTTTCTAGTAGGAAGTTTATTTGAAAATAGAAGTAATTTTGGTTTAAACATAAAAATTTTCTGAGTTTTATATTAAAGTACACTTCTTTTCCAACATTAATAACATCTTACATAATTAAATATAAGTTAAAACATTTAATATGCATATAATATGCTAATTTGATGACGTCATTGGTCAAAATCCAATATGGCGGACTATATTATTAGCTCTGACGTCATATGACGTCATAATTACACCAAAGTTATTAAAATTTAATTCTATTACCACACCATTCTCTGAAAACTTGGTAGACATACGATGAGTGCATAAAAACATATAAAAACGGAAATAAGGTAATGTATAAGAACGCCAGTGTATCCATTATGATCGAAAGCCGGCTGGGGTCCGCGCGGACCCCAAAAGAAAATCAGAATGATATAATTTTTTTTATAAATGGTAGAAACGGAATTTTCTGCACTGTATTGAGAGACAACTTTGTGGGTGACAATTACCTAAAATTTCAGGAAAAAATCTTTAGAAACAAAAAAGATATTACAGAATATATAGTGCTGGGGTCCGCGCGGACCCCAGGTGTACTGTTTAGGGTTAAACCTCCTTGCTCTAATGCTGTAGGATACAAAGATATAAGACATGGATTTAATTTATAGCAGATTCCTTATTAATTATGCCATTTTTCTTCATGACAATTACATTGTGGTATAAAGACTATTTTTTCTGTTGTAAGGCCACAACAATTTAATTTGTTTGTTCTCGGATTTTTTCATAAAAAAGTGACAGGGCCGAAAAAAGATTTAAAAAAAAACATGTACTGGCTTCCTATCATAGCCCCAAATGCTACGATAGGAGCCATGAAGTCAACACAAAAGGCTGGGTTAATATTTAAACAATGAATTTCGAACTTTAGAATCAAACTATTGCATTCAGATAGATAGAAATACTGTAGGAACTGTAGGAAGAAACTAACTTTTCTCAACTATTAGGGCAAAATTTTTTAGTTGATTCAGAACCAGAATCCTTTTTTTTTGTGCAAATCAGAAAAAAATGAAGAAAAAAACAATGCAATTTTGTTTCATTAAAAGTTCAAAATCTATTGTTTTCATTTAATTTATATACCAGCCCGGTATGTTCACTTCATGGCTCATACTAGCATTTCCAGCTATCATGGGGTGCCTTGGCCTGTTTTTTTCACCCTGTTGCTCCTGATTTTTTCTGAAAATGTCTGAGAATCAACAAATTAAATTGGTGTGGCCTAATTAAGTATTTTCCATGCCTCCCCAGGGTTTTTCCAGTGAGACTAAGCAGGTACATGTGGAGGATGGACAGACCAGGCAGCTAGAGTTTGTCCTGGTCAGGGAAGAGACACTGACTTACCACGGATATGAAGACATGCAGCAGATGCTGACTGATGTAACAAAACAGTTCCCAAACATAACCAAGTTGTACAGGTACTGACTGAATTATTCACCAATTTCACACTTACCATAATGCCTTGTAACGGTCACGGATATGCAGGGACGTAAGACGTAAGACCATCCCCCCTCCCCCTTCCTCGATGTAATATTTCCAACAAATTCTATCGACAAACTGGTCAACTATTGTTTTGAATTATTTCTCTAGTATAAAGCGCATGCCATAATTGCATTTTTGTTGGAATTAGAGAAAATGACGTACCTTCTATCGTTCTACCTTCTACCGAAGACTCTCCTACTCGCACGGTCGCAT